TTTTCCAGACCGAATACAAATAGAGAAATTTTTTCATTTACAAGAATCAATTGTATAAACTAGAAAAGCAAACTTATTAAGCTAGATGTTACTAGCATAGAAATTCATTTAAAAATGTCAGAAAAACAGAGCTCATATAAATTTATGTACATATTTCTTTGAAAACACTGAGATTGTCATCTAACAGTTGTCAAAAGATAAAATTTATACACGACGACAACATTATCTACTCGTATAAAAGCAAAAATTTTTAGATTCTATTAATTTGGCTAACTGGTCCTGAAAAGTTAGCCAAATATCAAAAAGGTTAGCCAAACTGAGATGGCAAAAAATATTTTTGTACTTTTAAAAATATTTTTTATGAAATTGAGTGTTTTTATTACTAAATTATTATAAATTTAATTTCTTTGAAAATCTTTTTTTTTTTACTTTTTTGTTCATTTTTTGGCAAATTCAACAAAAAATTTATAGCCAAATCTGAGAAGTTATTACCATTTGGCTAAAAAAATATTGGTAGTTTAATCCCTACCTATATTTATTTATATATGAAAATGACCTATTATAAAACTTCAACCATTAGCAAAAAATTCATATTATTAAAATATATTTAATGAATTATAATACTGAATAATTCTTTAGATTCTATATAGTATCAATTTGCAACATTTTAAAAAATATATAGTATTTCATAATATATTAAACTGGAATAATTGAATATTTTTCGTTGAATTATTCCAGTTCTAATTTAATTTTTCTTTAAAAAATTTTACACTATCATTAGCAAAAAATCTTTAATATATTTATAAATAACAATTATGCCATCACTTATTGTTCAGAAAATATCTATGTTCAAATATTTAAAAAAATATAGCATTTTTATGAAATCATTTATCTAAAAAAATAAAGAAAAAATATTTTCCATCAATATATTTTTGTGTCTACTTTCAATTAAAATAACAATTAAAATTAAAAAATTAAGAAACAATTGCAGAAATGAAAAATACATGCAGGATGCTTTGTCAGTAAAGCAATTACAATTGAATCAAAATCCAAATTAAATTTTTTTTAATATATTATATGAAAGAATTTAAAAAATAAACTTTTAAAAGATGCTATTAACATAATATAATAAATATAATCTAATGGATAGTTAAAAGAATATATTTTACAGAAACAATTATTATTGTATATTTAAACTTCTTGATTTTAAATTTAATTTTTAATTGAGGATAAAAATATATTTAAGAAAATATTTTTGTTTTTAAATATATGATTGCATAGAAAAGCTATGTCTTGTTGTTTATGTTTATTTATAAAATTGAAGAATGACACAATAAACTATACCTATACAATAATGATATCTATGTCTAAGCAATATAATACAGATTAATGTAATTTCTAAAGCACTTAAATAAATGAAAAAGATATTATTTGAATTTATCATATTATAATAGACAAAAATGAAATTACGATAATCTAAATCAAATATTGCTCTTGGACAGTTTGCAAACAATTCGTGTACATTATTTATAAAATATAATTTCTGATGATTTCTATTATAAGATTTATTATGTAAAATATAGTTTTGTAATAGAAGGTTTATATCATTACGTACTTTATAAAGACTAAAATTTCAGAGTTTGAGCAAATACTAATAGAAAGTAAACAGGTCCTAATAGAATGATTTGCAGATTTATTAAATTCATATTAAATATATATATATATATATATATACATACACTTATGGCTCAATATATTGTACTCACTATAAAATTTTTAAAAAAATACTTTTTAGTGCAAACTTTCATTCTTAGAAGATAATGATAAAATATGCTTGATATAAGATACAACTCATTATTCAGTATGTTTCACTATAAGGTACAATTTATGCTAATTTTTCAAATGATTGATACATGTTACTCATGAAGTGAATGCCCAAACAAGTGCCCAATATTCAAAAATACTAAATAATGCTAACTTCACTGTTGTCAAACAATAGCACATGCAGTGTAATCAAGCAAGGGTGCAATCACACAGCAGATTGTAGTTTCAATTTCACTTTGCCTACAGGCAAAGCATGGCTTTGAAATAAAAAATGCTTTGACATGGAAACAAAAATGAACATTCTATAAGTGACTGACCACAGCAAAAAGTTTGAAATTATAGTGAATATTTTAACCTGCCAATCCAGGGGTGGATCTAGGTTTTTTGGGGCCTAGGGCTTATTGAAGTCCAATGGGGTCCCATTTTTATTTATTAGTTTAAGAATCTTTAAATTGGAGTTTAAAATTAATTTTAGTAACATCAAAATTACAGTTGGAATATATTTATTTATGAAATGATGTTGAATGACAAACTTTTTATCTTATATAAAAAAAAATACTAAAGAAATATTATTAACAAAAACATATAAACAAACAAAATTTTTAATAAATAAAATAAAATAAATATACCATCACACCATTTACCCATAGCTGGATGTGGTATTCTGCCAATTATTAATTAAAATTTAATTTTTCTACATTTTATACTTGCGTAGTTTTTTATAACATCATCATACATGAGCTATCAAGTAATATCGTTTTCTATTGATAATATGCATAAGTCTGCCAATCTTTCATTATTCATAGTGTTATGATGTTTGTTTTTTATGTAGCTCATCTTGGAGAAACATCTTTCCACCTCACAATTTGCAATTGGGGGATAGGAAAATTTTAAAAATTGTATATAAATTTGAAAATGTATCTATTAACTGTTTTTCATATATTATTTTTAGCATTTTGGCACAGTCTAGCTCTAAAAGACCAGCAGTTTCCAAATATTTTTTAAAATGTATACTTTCATTTTCTAATAAATCTGTAATATTCTGATCATAAAATTTAGTTATTTCTTTTAATACTTTCAAACTTTCAATGTCAATATTCTCACATTCCTTGTTACCAATATCAAACAGAAATTGAAATTTTTTTCATATATTTCTGTAGCTTTTTCTCTCTTTCCTTTTCTCTTTTTTCTCCTTGCAAAGTGGTGCATTGCCATTGCCTTATAAGGCAGGCTGGTATTATTATTAGTCTCCTTATAGCATTCAAATTCAAGACAGTGGATTTAAAATTGCAACTGGTGACCAATTACATTGCGTTGATTACAATAAAACAAATAATACTATAAATTACCATTATTATTATATTATTAATATTAACTATGTTTTGCTTTATGATAAGTACTCATTGTTAATGAAAAAGTATCAAAAATTTATGATGATAATTCAATTTTTTTGGCCCCTTGACACTTGGGGGCCCAGGGCTTAAGACCTATTAGTCCTTATGTAGATCCACCCCTGTGCCAAACAAATCATCAGTGTCTGGAGTATAATTTCAACAAGCTTAAATCAAAGCTGAATAAAAGATGTGAGATTTAACTTCAAAGAGGTTACACAAGAAAAACTATTCAAGCTCAAAGACTTTATGCAAATGGTTTTAGAAAATACTAATAAAGTTTTTATCACAGGATATGATTCAGGAAAAAGCTAAAGACCTGGCATACGGTATATGTTCCAATTTGAAAATTTTGATGTTAGCAATGGATAGTTTGCCAATTTTATCAAATTAAAAACATTTTGAATTTTGATAAAAAAAGCTTTATTTTATTGCCTGTAATTGACCAAAGGTTGCTGTGAATGGATCTGTGTGCTAAAAAGAAAATATCAATAAATCAAATTACAATTGGTCTCTGCTGTAATGCTGACAACTTGAAATTTATGAACTCTTGTATCGTTGAAAAATCTGAAAATGCTGCATTAGCTAATGTAAAAAATTTATCTGTAAAGTATTACTGTAATAGCATAGTCTGAATGATTCACAGTGTATTTGAAGAACACTTAATTTGGCAATACAAAGAATATTGGCTACAAAATTGAAAAGTTTTTCTTTTACTTGATTTTTCATTACATTCTGACTTGACAAACATTGAATTATTATTTTTGCCACACAATAAACCAATTAGCCAGCCTTTAGATCAGTGAATCATTAAAAACTTCAACCATTATTACTGCAAGGAGCTAATTGAAGTTTTGATTTTCACTTTAGATAAATGATATGATTGAAAAACTGATTTTTTTAATACTGGATGTTATTTGCTATACAATGTAACCATTTCCTTTAAGCAAGAAACAGTCTAAAACTGCTTCAAACATTTCCTACTAATTAGTGATAAAAAAACAGTATAAGTGGCAGTAAAATTATCTGAAAATTTGTTTGAAACTTTGTTTTCTATTGATGATGATATGAATAGCCATCAAATGATATTAAATAGTCATGTTATATTTATAATTATTTTGCAAAATAAAATATTTTTGTACTACTATATTTTGTTCAAATTTGATACAAGGTATAAAATCAGTTGAATAAAAGTGTACCTTATATTAAGCCAAATTCATAAATTAATTCATCTATGAATTAATTTACAGATTTTGATATAAAAAATATACAGTTTATTATTAGTTTCAAATTTTAAAATAAATAAAGATTTTTACTTAATAAATATTTTAGATCTGAAAACGGTTAAAATTTTAACATTTACTGTTAATATTTATTTATTTTAAAATACAATATATATTTTACTTCAAATTCCTGTTTATGCTCTTAGAGAAATGTAGAATTTAATTTATTCAATAATTCCACATCTATTTTTGATATATAAAATTTTCCTAGGAGTTCAGTTTGCCTGCAGCTACATCAATATTAAACTATTTGATCAATTAGAATAAATAGAAAATTATTTAGATAAAAAAAAACTTATACATTGGTACCTCAGGTTACGAACGCCCCAGCATACGAAATTTTCAGGATACGACATGAAATTCGAACATATTTTTGCTCCACGATACGAACAAAAACTCACCATACGACGTTACATTAGTTCGCATTTTTCATTTGTTTTTCTTACTACAGTTATTTTTTTAAATGTATTACTTGGCTTTAATTTGAGTATGTTTTTCGCGTTGGAACGAATTATTTGGTTTTACATGTAATCGTATGGGAAAAGTTGATCCACCTTACGACATTTTCATGATACGATCTCAGTTTCGGAACGGATTAATTTCGTATCCTGAGGTACCACTGTAGATTATTTCTATTACTAGCTACCAATAGAAAAATTTGAAAATTACAAATGAATATTTCTATATTATCACTAATTCATTTTTCTTACATTAATATTTTATCTTGAAAAAACTTTCAAGTGAATGATTTTTGTAATGGAGAGTAAAGTACATTTAAAAGGAACTTTCTGTTTCTATTTATGAAATTTCCAAAACATTACTAATTTTTATAATACATATACTACCACTATTACTTTATATCATTGTATTTCAAAAATAGAAAAAGCTTTTTCATGCTATTGTATTTTTAATAATTATATTATATAATACAATAAATTTAATGGCAACTTTTTAATGCAAACAAACAAAAAATATCTAATTAATAAAAAATTAAAGGGTGCATTCATAAATTTTATGATCGGTTCTTGCACATTCAGAGTTTTCAGACATTTTACCACAGCAACTCCAATGATAACCTCCTGGATGTCCCACATGACCATGACCACATCCTTTAAATCCTCCTTAAGATATAAGAAATAAAGTTAAAATTTTTTTATCAGACCTAAACTATTGTTTTATTATTAATATTACTACCTGGAATAGTTCCACCACAAGCACATTGAGCTTCCTTATTCCCATTGCTAGAACAAAATGTACAACAATGATATATTCCAAAATGTTTACGCCATGGTGGTTTGATATTCACTAGAAAAGGACTTCCCTATAAGTTTTTAAATGCAATTATTACTATAAAATTAATTTTAAAATGTCATTATCTTTTGTTAATAAATTAGAATCCAGATGAATATAACAGTTACCAAATAAATACAAAAAATATTTCAAGTGAGTTTAGATCAGTTACATTAACTTCAATAACAAAGGCATTATTGTTAGAAAATTCACCTTTATATGATTTCCACCAATCTGTACATGAAAAAAATATTGTCCATGAGTATCAGGACTAAATGTTAAAACATAAGAACCATCTTTTCTATCTGTAATAGTAACTGGTATTTGCCTAAAATATTTCAGGAAATAAATTTTAAAATTAAAAGAATCATTTTGACATTAATAATTTTACAATCATTTTACCTACTTTTTCTCATCATCTTTTGAAACTAATTTAGCAGAAACATCATCACATCCTCTTATCACTGGCTGAGAATTAACATCTCGCACAACTAACAGAAGGCGAGATAAATGATCTTGCCTTGCTACTTGTAAACCTAGTCAATATATATGTTACCTTAAAATTTTAAATATGTATATTTATTTATTTTAATTTAAAATATTAATTAAATTTCAATCAAGCTTTATGAAATATAAAATCTTATCTTTAACTATCAATCTTAATACAGTTAATATCTTTATGTATTGAAGAATCTTTTCATCATTATAGATGATGATTTTGGTATCAGCATTGTACATTAATATCTGCAATATATTTTACATTATATTTAATGCTAAAAGTGGTAGAAGAAAACATTTTTTTTACACAAAGTACATGTGTTTCTTAAAATGTTTGAGAACTACTAATGTAATGAAAGATTTAATAAAATATGAAAAATTGTTAGAGACAGAAATCAAGAAAAATGTATTGATAATGACTTATTCTCTTCTTACACATTCTATATATAAACATTTTTAAGGAAACAATAAAATTTGGAAAATGAACATGTCATTAGCAAAAAATACATTGAAATTTAAATTGGAATATTAAATTCTTATTAAAAATTCCAATTGAAATTATTAAATATTAATAAATAAGGTGCAATATAAAGGCACTAATAGATTTCAATATAAAATCATTCACACTAAAATGTTTCTTTATTAATAAAAAAAAGCAGTCTTAAGATTTTGTTTTCTGTTAGAAAAAAAAACAGAAAAGATAGGAATCACTAAGGGTCTCTGCTTTCTAGGTTCAGGGAAAAATCCCTAGCTCCCTCTCTCAATGGTCCTCATCCAAGACTGTTTTGACAATGAATGTGGACACTGACAGAAATGTGTTGTTGCAAGAATTTATTTTGAAGGAAGTCTTCAGTAAATACTTGAGATTACTATTAACATAATAAAAGTTATAATAAAAGTTTGGTTTATTTTGATTCTACCATGTATTTAACTATTGAAGACAAGGAATAAAATTTCTTCAAATGATTTTGGTAACTTAACTATATTTTTCTTGAATTTTAAATTATGTTTGGATATCTTTATTTAATTATAGAAAATGTCTGTTGGAATACTGTCTGCTGTTTTAACAAGTTTTAAAATAGCAGACAGTATTCCAATGTGATCATCTAGTTTAATCTAGTGATTTTCAACCTTTTTCTAATAGTGGCACCCCAACTTGGTAATGTTTTTCTTCAGGCATCACTATTTCTTTATCAAAGTAAACATAGGAAGTGTTAGGGCATTGCTCAGCACTATTTCATGGCATCCCAGCTGAAAATCATTGGTTTAATGTAAGAAATTAAATATTAATAAATTATTTTATTTTCAAAATATTATAAAACTTTAAATTTAAATACTTCATATACTTTTTAATTTGCAATAGAAAAAAATCAATACTTGAAAACATTACCATTTCCTTTGAGCAAACAATGATGTGGACTCACTGCTTGAAGCAACAATTGTCCTTGAAGCATATATCCATCAACAACACCTCCTAATTCTCTAGGTATAAATTCTATTTTCTCATTTGTGCGTGGTTCCAACGGTACTTTTGTTCGAGCAATATCCTTCAAACACTGTGTGACCAAACTAAATATACTCAAAATTTCTGAATTTGTTCCTTCATTTATTAGTTTATTCACAAAAATTTCCCAATTGTTTAAATCTTCTAAAACTCGTTCAACATTCATACGCTGGAGTCGCAGCACTCTTTGCCGTCCAACATAAACTCTTTGAATTTGTCTCAGTAAATGTTGCCGATGCATTTCTAATGCTATCATATAGCCATCAATGAATTTATTTACTTCTTCTGTTATATTTGTAACTCGAATTTTTAGTTTTACATTTGTGTCTTGAATCTTTTCAATAGATTTAGAAAGAAGTTCAATATTGGATCTTGTTTGTGAAATAAGTGCTTCTAGAATATTTATTTGCTTTTCAGCAGTATTTTTAATAGTATCAAATTTATGATTCTGATTATGAATTACACTACAGCTATTACACAATACTTCTAAACAAGATGTACAAAAATAATGAATTTCTTCAGTTGGATGGATTAAGCACAATACTGGTTTACGTGAAATACAAATTCCTTGCTTTATTGCTTCTTCAAGAGCTATCACTTTATGATTATAGGTTTTCTTCTGCCTGTTGTGAGCTTCTGAACAAAAATTACAAAGATTAAGTAAACAATCCGTACAATGATCATTTGCAATAGTTTCAGATGTACAGAGATCACAAAACACTGTGTTAGGATCCAAATTCATTGTATCCACAATCATTTCGTGTAACAACATATAATTTAAAGGCAATTTTTTCACACCTTCTCTAGGCATTTCCACACGTTTACTGCATGTGGGACATAAAAATATATCACATTTTTCTTTTCTGTTTAACCTCAAACTAGACGTGGATACCAGACTGGATTTTTCCGATTCATAACCTGAAGCAGATCCATGCACACTACTCTGAGATAAAATCAAACTCAGATTATCTGAAGAATCAGCAAAATTAATCTCAGGAGAGAAAGGTTCTAAACTTTTCAAACAATTTGTACAAAATGTGTGTAAACAGGGAAGAATCCGAGGTTCTTCATAACGACAATGACAAACACCACAAATACGAGGCAAAGCAGGAAGAAGACTGCTAGACATTTTTCATGTAGTTATGATCTGTAAGAATTTTTAAATGCAATTAATTCTAAAGCATTAATATGAAATAATAAAATTAATTAACAACAAAACTGACTGGTTTATTAAAAGTTTGTTACAGCATCAATAACAATCTCGGTAGGATATTAAATGCATTGCTAGTTAATCCAATTATATATCTATTATGTCTGCAGGATATCATCAAATAGAATCAATTATATAAGTATTAAGTGAATCTACATGTTAATAATTCAATTATACTTAATAATTTTTAATTATATACAAGTTAAAATGTATGGGATCTGATTTTAAAACTGTTTATTCGTTAAAAAATAACCTATGTAATCGACAATTATTTATCACGTGCTTTATCAACAGGATGTTTGATTTCATTATCGAGCAATAAAAGATAACATTATATTATAATAAATAAATGTTAAAAATTGTAATTGTTAGGGAGCATTACCATTACAATTGAAAACAATCACACTATAAACTGATTAGTAACATGCACAAATACCATTAACGTATAGAAGCACGTTGACATGTGACCTAAAATAACCACTCCCTCACTTATCACATGACCACTTGTAACACTACAAAATAAGGATAACTTTCTATTTCAATTTATAAAAAAAAAAAATTATTTTCCGAGCGTGTTACATTTTAGTTATTTTTTAAATAAAAATTGGTTACTTCTATATACAGTATTATTACTACAGTAGATCCCCCTATAAGACGGTAGATACGTTCCGTTCTTTATGAATCAATTTTGTAGGAATCATAGTTTACGGACTACGGCTGTTTGAAAGGTTTTCTTTCATAAAATTAATCGATTCTAGACTAATTCNTGTATTTAATGTTATTTGATTAAAACTAAAAGTAACAATTAAAAAACCGTGTTCTTTCTATCCTCTATGTAACAAGTACTGTATTAAAAAAAGTTCAATTCTCATAACATACAGAACTATGTAGCTGCGCTTACATTAGTTGTAAGTGATTCGACTACGCATATGAATTATGTGTAATTAATTTCCGTTTGACAGTATTACGGACACGAAATGCTACATCATACCGGTATAACCAGAACCTATACAGTCGACCCCCCCCATAACACTGTTGATAATTCCAATTTATATGAATTCCATGTTGTACGAGTCACTTAAATTTTACAAATATAAATTTTAGAATTTATATTTGTAAAATTTAAGTGACTCGTACAACATGGAATTCATATAAATTGGAATTATCAACAGTGTTATGGGGGGGGTCGACTGTATAGGTTCTGGTTATACTGGTATGATGTAGCATTTCGTGTCCGTAATACTGTCAAACGGAAATTAATTACACATAATTCATATGCGTAGTCGAATCACTTACAACTAATGTAAGCGCAGCTACATAGTTCTGTATGTTATGAGAATTGAACTTTTTTTAATACAGTACTTGTTACATAGAGGATAGAAAGAACACGGTTTTTTAATTGTTACTTTTAGTTTTAATCAAATAACATTAAATACAATAATAATAATAATAACCGACAGTGTTTCCTGTATTGAATAGAACAATTCTCACAGCATACCGATTAGTCACAGAATATATAACTGGGCCTACATTAGTCGAAAGTGATTCAATCACGCATATAAATTTTGTGTAATTAATTTCCGTTTGGCAGTATTACAGGCACGCAATGATGCATTATATAACCAGTACACTATGCACATGCTCCTGATGCTTTGTCTACAAGTTTCTTTGCACAATCTGCTATGGTGCATTTCTTTTGAAAAACCCTGTATAATATAAATTTTTAATGTGTTGTTTTTAATACATGACCATTGACTTCGGAGCTGTCCATAAATTACGTAACGCAGATATGAGTGGGTGGGTATGCATCTGATCGTCGATTAGGGATTGCATTGCCGATAAACGGTTTACTACTTCACCGGCAATCAGATAAAAAAAACGTGTATCGGTAAATATATCAGTAATTTGATATTTTTTACTGGTAAATTCGGTAAAAATAAGTAGACATGTAATAATTTTTTGCAGCCAAATATTTATTAGTATAATCAAACTCAGATTATCTGAAAAGTTTTCTGTTTTCGTCGATAATCAGTCCGAAAACAATCGGCGAAATCCGAAACTGCAGAAAACCGAGGCAATTATTTCATATGAATCAATATAAATCTAATTAATTCGTTCTAGATACTCCGAAATAGATACCAAAAACACATTTTATAGAGAATAAATATAGTGTAATCCTCAAAACAATAAGAATTTAATATGAAGTGAATATAAAACACCGGCGCTTTTTTTGTCATAGAACGCAATGGAACGGCGTTCCACCACCTTTTTNTTAGTATAATCAAACTCAGATTATCTGAAAAGTTTTCTGTTTTCGTCGATAATCAGTCCGAAAACAATCGGCGAAATCCGAAACTGCAGAAAACCGAGGCAATTATTTCATATGAATCAATATAAATCTAATTAATTCGTTCTAGATACTCCGAAATAGATACCAAAAACACATTTTATAGAGAATAAATATAGTGTAATCCTCAAAACAATAAGAATTTAATATGAAGTGAATATAAAACACCGGCGCTTTTTTTGTCATAGAACGCAATGGAACGGCGTTCCACCACCTTTTTTCGATATATTTTAAAAGTTTTAAGAGAATTTTTGAAAATTTGATGTTTGGTCCGCGTTGAATAGCTCTGTTGAGCATAGAAGATCGGCAACAAAATTAATAAGACGGTCCTGCTCCTGCTTGTCTGCCGAATCTTGTGTACGATGCATGTGTACTGCGAACTTAGTTTGTGGTGACTGTGACATACTGCTCGGCTCGTGTTTGGTCGTGTCATGATTTGGCGGCAATGCAGGTATCGCAGTGCTAATCGGGACGGTGACTGTCATTTCGACTGTTTTATATTTCACTAGTAGCCCGGTGCGCCCGCGGATTACTAGTGAAATATAGTACGTTACTTCTTGATATTTAAAAATGTCTCAACCTTAAAATCGTTGATATCACATAATTTAGTAATTGAAAATTTTGCAATAATTTTAACATTAATGTCCATACACACAATAAAAGCTAGTGAAACTAAAAATATGTCCTTTTTATCAAGTTTTAGATGAAATGTCTATAACTATAGTGTCTGCCCGCTCTAATAACAACAACAAAGATTAGGCTAATCCATCAGTATTTCCGATTCCAGTAAGTTGACGTCATTCATCTGACCAATCATAGCATTGTGACATCTGGATATTTAGTCGCACGTGTACTGAGCAACGAATTTTTAACAATGGTCTCGGTCTCGCTGTTATTTTTGACAAAAATACAAATTTAAATATTAAAAATTTTATTGTTTGTTTTAGACCAAATCTATATATATAATCGAGACGGGTTGATGATAATAATAATAATAATAAGTGCAGAGCCCAAACGGTTAGGAGTTGAAAGTTGAAATTTGGTACACAGTTAGGGTACGTCACGAAAATGCTCACTAAGAAGGGATTTGTCGAAATTCCCTTCCGGGGGGGAGAGAGACAGGATTAAGGCTTCTATATACATTATGGATACGAGCCCAAACGGTTAGGAGTTGAAAGTTGAAATTTAGTATACAGTTAGGCTGCGTACACACTAGGCGTTTTTAAAACGCGCGTTTAAAAACCCGCGTTTGACGAACCAAGAGTTCTGCATAGGCGTACACGTTTATAGAGTTTTCTTAAAACGCGCGTTTTGCGGGCGTCAGCCGAGCGCTTTGAGATATATGTGCTGCCATTTTACTGTACATTCGATCGCGCGTTTTCGGGTAGAGTGGACGTACGTTGGCCGAAATGAAGAACGATCATTTCGATACTGATCTATTTATTGATGAAATCTAAAAGAGACCAACCATTGTCAAAGGATTTTATAGATAATTTAAAAGAATTAAAAAACTTGGGTTTATTTTGTTTTAGTTTTGGATATAATGTCGCAAACATTCCATGTGTCAGTCTATCTCGTAATATTGGGTGCACCCAAAATTCTCTTTGCCTCTGCCATCGTCTTTTATAGCGACGATGGAGGAGGGGCACACAAGCAATTACTTTCACGTCCATTTCCAAACTGAGCCAGTGCGTATGCTCCACTAAACGCTCGTCTAACGCCGAGCTAACGCCTGGTGTAAACGCTGCTAACGCACGTTTAACGCAACGCAAAACGCCTAGTGTGTACACACTAGGCGTTTTGCGTTAGGGTACGTTACGAGAACGCACACTAAGAAGGTATTTTTCAAAATTCCTCCCCACGGAAGAGAGGGACAGGATTAAGGCTTAACACTTCCATCAACAATGGAAGTGTTGTGTAACAATGGAAGTGTTAAGAGAAAGCGACGTGCAAGACGCAGGTGCAGTTTTTTTCGTTTTTGCGAGAAATCGAATATATTTTTAGACCCATCTAAAAAATGCTCTAATTAGTCCGGAAACAGGAGGACCCAATTCTTGCATTCCGTGAAAACGGGTAAGATTGACTAAAACGTAATAATCTTAATCTTCACTATCATTACTTTTGCCCGAGCAACGCCGGGCCTTCCTGCTAGTTATTATATAAAATCTATATACCGTATATAAAATTACTTGTCCTGACTGACTGTGTGAGTGATTGACTGATTGATTCATCATCGCTTAGAGCAAACCGCTGAACCTAAAGTGGCAAAATTTGGTACACAGTTAGAGTACGTCATAAAAAAACTAAGAATGGATTTTTCGAAATTCTCCCGCGGGGGGAGAGAATTAAGGCTTAACCGGAAGAACGGCTTCTACTGTACTATTTTAGATGCGATTTTTTATTTTCAACTACGTCTAGTCTTCATTGAGTAATTAAGTGTATTAAATTGATAACATTTCAAACATTGTTATAAATATTTTTGTATATCGATTTTTATCCAAATGTTCGAATCGTTTTAAATTCGAATTTATTATTGAATATTGGTTCGATTATAGAACGATTGTAAACGTTCCAGAAAATTGATCAAATTGAAAACAGTTCGTTTGATTCTCAGCAATTCTCATCATTCTCAGCGGTAGGTGTTATACTACAATTACTATGGTTGTTGAAATACTGAATATAAATGGTGTTTGCTTGCAAAATCCACGCAGGCAAAGTCGCGGGTAACAGCTAGTCTAACATATTTTGTTAATAAATATTGTTTACTGTTTTGTTTTACGAATATATGACACTAACTTGACGAATATATCCTACTAACTTAAGTTATCCTAGTTACATGTAACTAGGATAACTTAAGTTAGTAGGCTAAGTAATGCAGAGTTTCGAAAGTATCGAACAAACAAGTTACATTTGCATGTGTAGTGGTATTTGGTAATTTCTGAGTTTATTATTATCTTTTAAATTAACAATAGAGAGGTTGAGGCAGACGTTTTAAACGTGTAGGACGGACGTTCGGTGCCGCTTTCCAGTAAGCCTAGAAGTTTGACGATGGTGTTTGGAATGTCGAGCGTGATTCCACCGACTATCCAAACACCATTGTCAAACTTTTAGGCTTATGGGAAAGCGGCACCGAACGTCCGACCTACACGTTTACACGTCTGCCTCAACCTCTCTAATATAAATTATTATTCATTTGGCCATTGGCCAATATAAATAATTCAGTATATTTGAGATAGGAATTTATTATTGTCACGGAATACCTTTAACACGCACTAGGGAGCATCTCTCTGGTACTGTACTTGTTATCCTGTTTCCATGACGATTTGGCTCTTCTCGCTTGACAAACTGCCAACCCTGGTCTAGAATAAATGGCCAAAAACAAGTTATCCTTTACACTCAAAGTTCGATAAGGACTGAATAAAGCATTTTAATGCAGCTGAGTACAGTAAAATTCCAATTATGCAATTGCCCTCCGACCTTGTTAATAAAAAGACACGCATTTATATGAACTGTATATGCACGAGTACTGTACTATTTTTTAATGTAGACCAGGGGTGTCCAACCCGCGGCCCAATAAACGTGTAAACAAAACCGACAAATTTTTATTTTATTTCACCGGCATAAACTAAAAAAAAGGTTTCACAATGCCGTAAATCTTTATATATTTTATTTTTGAGTGGAAAGGAAATATCTTCAAATACTTGGAAATGTGTGAATGAGGAAGGAATACTAAATAAAGCTAAAGTTGAACTCAAAGAATTATAGTCCCAAATTCGGGGAAAGGCCAAAAAATAAAAAGTAGCGAGAAAGCTTAGACTTTGTTATGCAAATATGGACCCTTAATTTTCCAACCTTCCTCACTTCTTTATCTTTTGTCCTTTCCTCCCCCCCGAATTTGGGTCTATTATCCTTTATTTAGTATTCCTTCCAGCGTTGCATGACTTGGCTACTTTGCGCCACTTTTGGGCTACATATTATTTATAAATATATTAGTCAAATAAAAACGCACTTTAAAATGTTTTTTCGTTATTTTTATTAGAGACCCAAATAAAACAAAATATTTTTTTTCAAATAAATTTTTGTTTGTATCCTTTGTAATAAATGAATTTATCTATTTCTAAGTAAAAATTGAAAGTGTCTGTAAAAGTAATTTTTTAAAATATCCTTTTTCGTGATAAAGATTTAATACTTATTACTATAATCTAGACATGTTAATCCTTAAATATACAAATATATTTAAGGATTAACATGTCTAGATTGGGCCACAAGTACATATAATATACAATGTGGCCCAGAGAAACAAAAAGGTTGGACACCCTTGATGTAGACAATACTATTTATTTGTAGTTAAATTTTCAGTGTTTATTTACACAATTATGTATACTAAATTAATATGGTGTATAGATAGGGGAAAAATTGACTATATTAAGCAAAAATGAATAAATTCCAATTAGAACAATGGAGTTTCTGCATTGTTTCGTTTGTTCTGCACCATTTTTCGTTTTTATTTTATACTTCCAAATATCTGGTTAATTAAGTTTATCTATTTTAGCTTAAGATATTTGGTTATTTAATCCTCCTTCTCTACTGAATGTTTCAACGCCTTAACACTTAAATATAACCGGCCTGCTTATTAATGAAAAACTAAATAATCCTTTCAGATTGTAAACAATTTTTTAATTCGAATTTACGCAGTAGGCATTCTTTAAATATTGTATGAAATCTCCACTGACGAAAATCAATTGGGGACAGACATTCCACATCACAATCAGAACTAGCATATGCTACTTTCCTCTTCGTTAATCTACAGAATACATTTTATCAGCCCAAAATCTACCGGTAGTTTGTTGAGGTTTGTGTAATGCTTTGAGTATGATCCTGTAGATTAGTATGTATTTAACCTCGATATTAAATTCGTGCAGATATCTATTGTCCAGGGCTTAAATAATTATTCCATATTATTTAAGTAATATGGAATAAAAACATAACTGCAATCCAATGTTGAACAACCAGTCTGTCACAGAAAAAGTCTACATAATGTCATTGGTTTAACTTGCTTTTGTTTAGTCTTAATACATGCACCAATGACATTAGGTGGTCTAATTTTTAATTTAAGCTGGATTTGGCTTTTAATTGGCCATCACTGTTCATGTGAAAAATGAATTTAAGATATTTACAATCTGTAATGCATTTCCAGTTTACTTAAAATTTTAATTAAAAACCCACACATACTTTTTTTCCATTTATTTATTGCCAAGTTTCAATAAAAAATTTTATCTAGTCTGTTTGGCCTTCCCCAGCATTTAATTTCTTCAAGAACGATTTCTTCTTCTGCTCCACTCTATTTTTACGTTCTGACAGTGTCATCTTAGCCCGATTCCATCTAAGTAAAATAAAAGTTATATTTTCATTACAATTAGAATCTAAAAAACAAATTGATTCTTTTGAAGTTTTGCATAAATAACTTAAATAATAACCAATTATTTTTGAAAAAATTTAAAAGAGCTACTTTAATTTCATAGCTATATATATATTTATTATTTTTATTGTTATTATAATAGCAAATAATTAATTATCTACATTCAATTCATTGCAGAAATAATTTCGGTTATTACAAATTAAATCTTTCAATTAAATTTTCAATTAAAATTATTAAACCAAAAGTATTGCACCAAAGAAATTAATCAAAATTTTGTTAGGAAAGCTGTCAAATTAACTATGCTTCAAATTAATTGTCACACATTTAATTATATTTCTTAAATACCATAATGGCATTTCTCTTAAAAACTAAATTTCCAGATGATGAAAAACTGGAAGGAATAACTTCATAAACTTTTTTTTACTAAGTACAAAGCTCTAATCAATAAAAGAATGTGTGATATACCCCACATCCAACCCTTCGATTTATACTGTATTTGAAATTTCACAATTTCAATTTTAAAACAGTCAGATAGTGAAAAAATTTTATCCAGCATGATAGTATTTCATTTTAACATGGTATTTTAAAACACACTCCAGTATTTATTTTTTATTACTTTATTTTAAAATTAATGCTTAGGTTTACACTAACCATTATAATATTAAACCAAAATAATCACTAATTAATCAGGCTACTACTTTGCTTTTAATAATAATTAGATTTTAAGTAATTTAATAATAGAGGTATAATTTGGTAATACCTCTTTTACTTAATATCTATTAAAATAATAACGATAATCACATCATGCCAGAAACTATACAACACATTACTTCTGGTTGCAAGCTCTTGGATAGAATCAAGTAGCAAATATAATACACCAAGAGCTTGCAAACAAACACAAATTATTAGACATCCACAAACCATACTACAAATACATTCCACAGACACTATTGGAAAACAACCACAAAATGTATTACGACAAAGCCATAATCACAGATGAAACTATTTACCACAACAGACCAGACCTCACACTCATTGACAAACACAATAAAATCACATATATTGTAGACATACCTGTTCCAAACACACACAATATACAAAACACATTCACTGAAAAAATTAGCAAGTACACAGAACTTGCCCAGGAAATAAGGCATCTACGGAGGATGGAAAGGGTGCTTATTGTACCTGTCGTTCTCTCCTGTACAGGTGTGATACCATTCATTCATTATTTTATTGTATATATATATATACAGACCGGCCCCGCTTTGGTAAATTACCGGTTGTACACACAGAAATTACAATGCTCAGGTATAGATGTTGTACACATAACTCTAATGATGAAGAATTAAAAGAACATAAGAAATAAAATACATAAAATAGTACATCAATAACATGAAAATCAAAATAAAAACAAAACAAGTTAACTGATCTATATACAACTATGTACAAATTCATGACAAGCTGCTGTTAGTATTGAAAAACATGTAAAGTTCACCATTATTATCAAATACATATACTCGATTATACAATANTGCCAGGCGGCAGAAAGCATATATATAATTATAATAAACTTACAATAAATTAAGTTAATATATAATTATATATACAGTAGCTAATTTATATATAATTAATATATAATTATATGTACAGTACCTAATTTATATATAATTTATATATAATACTAAACAGACGATAGCAAACTCAATTTAGCCGCTCCGTAGCGTGGCGCAGGGTCGGAGGAAAGTAGTTCGGCTGCTCATCCACTATTGGTCCAGACTCTATCAATCTTGTCGCGAAACGACGTTATGGGAGGTATGTTTTACGAGAGTTTGTACAATTTTTTCGTTACGTTATAGGAATTGTCGTTATTAGAACGTACGTTATAGGGGGGTCGACTGTATATATATATACAGACCGGCCCCGCTTTGGTAAATTACCGGTTGTACACACAGAAATTACAATGCTCAGGTATAGATGTTGTACACATAACTCTAATGATGAAGAATTAAAAGAACATAAGAAATAAAATACATAAAATAGTACATCAATAACATGAAAATCAAAATAAAAACAAAACAAACTAACTGATCTATATACAAATTCCTGACAAGTTGCTGTTAGTATGGAAAAACATGTAAAATTCACCATTATTATCAAATATATATACTTGATTATACAATACATATGACACAATAAACAAGTACAATAATCAGCAACTTGCCAATCAGAGAGAAATACTTGACATTAAAAGTGTGTCATTGACACCAAAGTACAAACAATAAAGGAAATTCAAAGTATGCTAAGTACATACAATTTATATGACAAAATGGATGGTCCTTGGTAACAATTATTAGAAAGAACTAAGATCATTAATTAAAATTATACAAGAATCAATTATTATACAACGATATTCATTTTACAGTTCCAAAATACAAATGTCAGATCACAATCTCCAGACACCAGTTAATCCTTGAGTTGTGAAGTAGCCTTGCAGATCACTGTATTATGTAGTCAGTTCTTTGTTGGAATTTAGTTTTTTCTCTTAGATACACTGGACAAGTTTTATCCATTGTGTTGTGACAATTCTGTACTCTGTTTTCTCAAGCAGTTAGCACACTTCGGTGAGTCATGTTTGTTTTGACAATCTTTATTTAAATGATTTCCATTACAATGCTACACACATTTTCTTTTAAAGAACAATTTTTCGCAAAATGTCCAAATGATAAACAGCGATAGCACTGTGTTATAGGGAGAAAGTCAAAGACAGGACAGGTTGTCCAAAGAAGATGGATTTTTCCTGCTTTTATCATACTTTCTCTAATTTGTGGATACTTCAAGAATCCAGGAAATATGATTTTCATTTTTTTGGTTAAGTGGAAGCCTTATGTTAACATTTTCAATAAAAGTGCATTCAGTGTAGGTGGGAAAAATGTACGGGTTTTGCTCAAAAATGTCTAAAGCAAGATCCTCTTTATTAATGGTTTTCAGAACGGAAGCAATTTTGACTAATGGTAGTCTCTTTTTTGACAAATGTGATACTAAACCTGGAATTTGTTCAACATTCTCTTTAAAGTAGTTTATCTCATTCTTATGGTTTAAATCTACTGCAATTCCACTATTCCTAATTTTTCTTATTCAACATATGCCTATGCCAAGCTTATCAGGTCTCACGTTATTAGTTAAAGTACTTTTCGTTTCATCAGAAGTGGCTCTATTATTATCACTATACATATTGATTGGTCAAGATGATCCGGATAATCGAGCCGGAAAAATCGGGATTTTCAAAAACGTGTAAAATCATCCAATCTTAACAAACTTGATATATTCTTGATCAGTAAGAAAACTGCTTTCCAAAAATGTATAACAACCCTGACAAATTATAAGAATTATAGCAAAAAACTTTGAAAAATACAAAAGCTAAAATATTCACTAGCAGTCTCTCAGGATCCAGCACCCTCTCCCAGGTATGATACCCCCACACACTACACAAAAGCCTGGAAACATTACAATTCAATAGAAATACATACATCACACTACAGAAGGCCACTATATTGAATACATGGAATATATTGTTAGAAATTTCCTGAATACACACACACACACACTGACACACTTATTTAATGTTAGTTTTTGGTTGCTATGCCTTGACTCTGGTCCGGCATAGTACACAGCCACCAGTGTGAATTGAGTATAACCCACTAATAATAATAATTTTACCTCTTTTTAACAACTGTCTTCTCAGGCTGCGGTTTTCTTTCTGGATCAGCTCTGATAGAAGCATGAGCCTTCTTATAGATGTCTTCCAACTGATTTAGAAATATAAAAGCTTTAAATTTTTTAAAACTCAAATACAATAGTTTGATTAATTAATTTTATTATAATTTAATGAGAGAGCAATTTCTTAACTCATAAACTAATAGTATTTGTTATTAAACTAAAATTTTAAATTAGGATTATATCAATTGGGAACATAAAGATTAAATACACTATCTACCAGAATATAAATTTTAAATTAACAAGAGATACAAGTTAAGAAAAATTTACTTCATCAGCTGTAATTCCCAGTTTGATATATTGAGAAAACTGCTTTTTATATGCTTCTTCATCTTCTTCCATTAATATTCGCATATAATCTGCAACGTGTTGTCCAAAAATATGTTTGCGATGGACATCAGGGCTAAACTCTTTAGTCTCACTATCATAACCAGGAAATCGTTTATTGCTGGAAAGAAAAAAAAAAAATTTATGATATATTCAAACTAATTTAAATTTCAGTAAAGAATAAAGAAAAAAAAATTAATGAAAAAATAAAAAATACTGTCATATGAAACAAAAATTTTTAACATACAGACCCATCAAATCAGTCTGAAATTTTCTTATACAGTATTTTCCTTTATTTCAGTTTTAATTGCTATCAAATCCAGTTTCTAGTTTCATTAGTATTCATAGTTTAATAAAATGAAATTATTTTATTAAACTATGAATTGGATTTGATAGCAATTGCTACTTTTTTGTACTCAGAGATTGCACTTTCTTCATAACATTTTTATTGAACATGACTACATACTGCACATACTAATATATATGTACAGTACATATATAATACACAAGTTAAGCATTAATCATCATATAATGATAACTGATAAAGTTCAATAAAACATGTATATCATTAAAATTGTGAATAAATAATGTATTAATACAAAATATATGTAACAATATTAATTAAACAATACCTGTGGGGAATATCAATTCCACCATCTACAGCGCCTTTCATTGCTCCAAAAACACGAGCTCCTGTAGTGGTACGAGCAAGTCCAACATCTAGATAAGCACGGAAAGCACCTGGTTGTCCTTCAATATCTTCAACGTTATATTCTTCTCCTGTAACATCTACACAACCAGCATATATTTCATCTAATCCAAATTTTTTAAGAAGCTAGAAGAAAATTAAACAAACAAAGCAATTATGAAGAAAGATAAAAAATTCTCAGAAATTGTGGAATATATTTAAATGATTTAATCTATAATAAACAGTAGCAAAAGCAACAATATTACAATACAATTTAATACAGTCAAACCTTGGGTTACGAATGCCCGTTTACAAACAAAATTTTGAATGCCATATTTTCTCAAATTGCCAAGTTTCCAAACAAACCAACTGGCAAAAACTGCCTAAAGATGGTAAACTTCGTATACTTCCCGTGTTAAAGAAATGCTGAAGTTAGGTGGTGCCAAGATCACCTTATGTCACATAGCAAATCACGATGTTGCTATTTAAATTACATTTCAACATGCATGTAGAAAAGATATATTTCCATTTTCCTTTACACATCAAATTAATAAAAACTGCATTAATTGACATTCATGTAATATAAATAGCATTTGAGCTTAAGTTAAATTTAACTACAAAAATATACTAATATAATATCAATACAGTGGAACCTTGGTATACGTCCAATTCGGAATAGGTCCTGTTTGGATGAAACAAATTTTGCTCGGTATACGACTTTTGTTTGGTATACAACTTAATTCAATTATACACGTCATCTATGAACAAGTAGCACTATCGGTGTACTAGACCAGACTAGATGTTTGCAATGCCACGGTTTATAACTTTGTTAAATTTCTTCTGATTTTAATTTGTAAGTAACATTTTATTATTTTTATTAATCATGAATTGCAAAAAGACAACAGAAAAATAAAAAATGACTAGAATCACAATGGAACTGAAAAAAGAGAATGTTGAGAAATATGAAGGTGGCATGCATGTTCGAGATTTAACTGTTGCATACTGTATTCCGAGAACGATGATATCGACAATTGTGAAAAATAAAGACATTATTAAATCTGCTAACGTTTCGAAAGGAGTTAAATCAATTTCTAAATAGAGATCGAAGACATCAGATCATGTTGAGAAATTGCTTTTGCTTTGGATAACTGAAAAACAGCATGCTGGCGACAGCATATCAGAAGAAATTATTTGCAAGAAAGCTAAAAGAATACATGCTGATCTCATGAAAAAATCAAGTAGGAACTAGCGAGGAAAGCGAGATGTTTAAAGCCAGCCATTTTTTTTACATGAGAACAGATTAATCATTTTTACATTACTTCTTATGGAAAAGGCTGGTTTGGTATACATCTTATTCAGTATAAGTCCAAACACCAGGAATGGATTAAGGTCGTATACCGAGGTTCACTGTATTTATTAATACTAGATAACCAGTTAATTAAACTAAAACTAATAATTAAAACTGATCTTTACATTAAAACAAACTAAAAATAAGATAAATTAAGTTGAAATCAAATCAATTGAAAAACAATATTTTGAAGTGTTGATAAAGTACTTGTTATTGATCTTGATAGATTTGGTTACATTTCATCTTGGCAGTTGGAGTTGGGTCTATTTATAGTACTTTTGTAAAGTGTCAGTTTTGGTTACCAGTGGGGAACATTTTGCTTTTAATAATACTATATATATAGAATAAATACAGGTAGATATAAATAAAGTAATATAATATAGCCTTTATAGGCATTTTATGGTTTAGCCTGTTCCTGACCCCAAAATAAAGTCTTTTTTAGTTGTATTTCATGCATAATAATGTCTACAAATGCAATTAATATATTATAGCATACCAATTAATACAGCTAAGGTAAAAAACAGGTTTTGTTTTGGGTGTCAGGAATGGATTAATCCATTTTATGTTGTTTCTTATGGAAAAATTTGTATTGATTTGAGAACAAATTGGTCTCCAAACAACTTTTAGAAATGAATTAAGTTAGTACACCAAGGTTTGACTGTAATTCTATGACAATTTATAGCATTCATGATTTTGAAAATCTAAAGAATAAAATATGAAATAAATACAAGTTACTGTGTATATCTACAGTTGTGCGCAAAAGTTTAAGACCAGCAGCCAATTTTTTGTATTTTAAAACATAGCATCATTTACACAGAATATTGCATCATTTTATGTGTTGAATGCATCAGACACTTTTGACTGCTATAAATAACCACCCCATTTCATTCATCGCCATTGTTTTGTGGATTTAACCATAGAGGTGCTGTTTTTTAATCACTGTAATGGTAAAAAGCCATCACCTACTGTTGCAAAAAGGGCAGAAATAGTGGCCCTGCATAAAGTTGGCTTTTCTGAACATGAAATAGCTAAAAGGGTACAGTACATGTGAGCAAGACTGCTGTTCATCAAACTGTCAGTAAATTTAACAATTCAGGAAAATACACAGACCTGAAGAGAAGTGGTCACCCAAGAAAAATGAGTGCTCATGATGATCATGTGATCCAAAGGATGGTAGTGAAGTCTCCAACAACCTCCAGCAAGAAGCTTAAACATACTCTGGCTGCAAAGGGCACAAACATCAGTTTGAGTACTATTTCAAGACATTTGACCAAAGATTTTGCTTTATTATTCTACAAACTAGCTAGGAACCTCAACTTACCCAAACATGAAAAAGAAACGACTGATTTTTCGCCCAGAAACATAACTAGACAGTACAACAGTGTAATTTTCTGATGAGTCAAGTATCCAGCAATTTTCTGCTCATGCTAGAAGTGTTCGCCGCCCAATGGGAAGGAGATATGAGAAAAGATATATGAGTCCAATCATGAAACCTCATCCAAGCCAGATGATATGGGGTGCAATGTCTGTGTCTGGTACTGCTGCTCTATTTCCTGTTGCCTAAAACCACTATGAATGGAAGTCAGAATTCAGGTGATTGACTGGCCAAGTAAGAGCCCATATTTGAACCCAATTGAGAATCTGTGGTGTACTTTAAAAAATAAAGTGGCAGAAAAGCAACCATCAAATGCTACGGAACTTGTTTAAGTCAAAGAATGTCTGGTGCATAGAGATTTCTCAAGCCTACTGTCATTCTCTGATCTATAATATGCCTAACAGGATTGCAGCAGTGATTAAAAACAAAGGAGGTGCTAAAAAATACTGGGTTTAATTTCAATTCTTCAATAAAAATACTTGTAAGTCCATTTTGTTCTTTTATGGGTGGTCTTAAACTTTTGCACACGACTGTAAAAATTAAATCAATGAAACAGATGAGTACAATATATAATTTTAAAAGTAAAATAGATTCAAAATTAGAAAGAAGTCTTGGGTAGATATCAAATGTTCTTTAATTCAATTCCAAAAGTACATAGATTTATGACTTGACAATCAAATCTTTTCAGGCATTACTTCACTTATTTCATATTAATATATGACAGTTTATTCATGCCCAATACAATTAACATTTTTTGGAAAAATAATACTTCATAATTATGTTTTTCAGTTATTTTTAAGCATTTTATTATAAAGATTTGTCACAAACTTAATGTTTCATTAAATTTAAAAATACAATTATAAATAATTCAATCTTTAAGTATTAAAAAAATCATAAATTATAATGAGCAAGAAATAATTTTGAAAACTGGAAGAATGAATTTAATCTGGAAACATTTTAAAATCAGTTATGAAAATTTACAGGGGAAAAATTAACTCCATGTATTTCTTAATGTGTATTTCTATTATTTGGTATACAGTAGAAATTGTTAATCTAGAAAATGTATGCTTAATAAGTGAATGCTGATATTATTATTTTTAAAATAATAAAAGGTTGAAAAAATTTGAGACAATTCTTTCATCTTTTGACTGTATATATATACAATCAAATCCTTCTATAGCAAGATTTAGCAGAATAAAAAAATTATTATTGTAGAGAGATTTATTGTTATAGTAAGTTTTTTAAAAGTATCCCCTTCCTCATCATCATTGGTCTATAAACAGGGTTATTTCTACAGTTACATCTATATATATAACCCATTCAACAGGTGTCTGTCCTTCCTTCCGTCCGTCCGTCCCGTAACCGTTTGATAACCGACACTAGAGGCGCCCTTATCGTGTGTCATATTTCAAACATTCAAATTAAATTAACAATTTTAATTATTATTTAAATTAACAATATAAATTATTATTATTCATTTGGCAAATAAATTATTATTTGGTCAATATAACAATATAAATAATTCAGTATATTTGTAATAGGAATTTATTATTGTCACGGAATGCATGTAATGTTCACTAGGGGGCGAATAACGAAAAACCGGATAGGTTTGAATCACTACGTAAGACGATAAGGTTTGAAATAGTTAAGGTAATACAGTATAAGGTAATATTTTAATATTAATTAACCCATTCAACGGGTAATGGCTATTTGTAAATAACGCCCACTAGGGGGCGTCCCAGGCTACTAGTAATGTTAGAACAGATAAAGTATTATTAGTCTCCTCAAGTACAAGATTTAAGTGGTTTCATTGCATATTATTGTGAGATAGCAGAAATTCTTATATTAGAAATAGTCTTTAATAATAACATTTCGTGAATTACGCAACAATTGTTGTTCTTAGCTACCTGAGAAAGTCTCCCGTTACATTTTCTCGTGAACTATTAACCTCTGCATGGCCGAAATCGTCCGTGAATATCACCAGAGACGGCCTAAAGAGTTAGTCGCCGTTTTAGTCCTCGGAGAGGAAAGAAGTCGTCCTCCCTTCAATCATCATCCATCTAATCGTCACCGAATTAATCGTCGCCCATAGGATAACCTTTTTTTTGTGTGTGTGTGTGTGTGTTAGTGCACGATCGCCTGAATAACTAAAAATACCCAACAGAACTGGATACCTCCTGAAAAAACCCATAAGATGATCTTGTTCTCCAATTCAACAAGACCCGATCGGGATATCTATTACCAAAGGTATTTATCACCCCGTGAATCGTATGTGAACTCTCTCTCTCCGCGACAACAATTTATTCAATAGATTTTTAAATAAACCATTGTTAATTGTTAAATGTATCTGAGTCACTTCCCATGTTGTTTCTCAAACTGACATTACAAATCCATCTGACCACGTATGGGACCGCTCACGCGACAGCATGACGTAATCGCCGCATCAGTTTCCGTGTTCCGAGAAACACGATGGTGTCAATCCTGACAGGGTACCAAAGAGGTGCAGACCCGAAAGGTCACATTATCTCTAAGTGTATGTTAAACATCAAAATCCAAAACTTGTGAATTCAAATCTTCCTATAAAACATGAACTAAGTAAAACTAAAACTAATTCTAAAATATAATTTCTTAAGGAGAACACTTTTTGTATTTATTTTAATAAGTACAATAAAAAAATGTATTGCAGTAGAGGACAATGTTAAACTGAAGGAAGTTTTACATTAAGCTAATAGGAATTATGTAGAAAACTATTTATCATTATGAAGGGATTTACTGTTATATGAATAATCTCTGAACAAAGATTTGACTATCAAATTTTCCACTTTTTCCAAATGTAACAGAAGATAAAGTTACACATAACTAGAGTTTATCTATGTGAAAGAAAGTAAAAATGTGATAGGACATATTTTGTATTAGACAGTGCTATGAACTGTTGGCAAGCTTTGCATTCTTTTGGTCATAGGTCAAATTTTTTTTTGTCTGCTATGTCTGATTGGCATGTCTCCTCACATTCTTATTTTCTGTGTGTTACAATTAGCTCTATAATTCAGTGTACCCAATTAAAATGTCTATACATGGAAAATTCATTTCTGAAAATTTAGTTAACAGTACTTAAGCAAATAACTATTTATCAAAATAATAGTCACATTACAGAAAATTTAATAAAAAATGTCTTATATTCTACTGATAACAAATCAAATACAATACAACAAAACAACATTAAAACATATTTTTCAGCATGTTTATTGACATTCAACTGCTTACCTACTAAAACCATCAACTGTTTTAATATATAAGCAGTTAAACATCAATAAAAATTGTATTATCTACTTTTATGAATTAAAGATTAAAATATCACTTACTCTTCTAGCTAACAGAAGTCCAGTGCAATAAGCAGATGCATAATTAGTCAACCCAACCTTCACGCCATATCTTGGGAGTTCGTGAGCATAAGCTGCACACACAATGACATCTCCTTCGATTCTGGCATAGGCTATCTGTTAATATACCAGAAAATTTTAATTACACATAAGCCAAGCTTGACATATAGTAATAAGTTGATTAATAATAAAGATATTATGTAATTTACTCTTAAGGCAGGTAGTTAAATCATCACAGTGCATTAAATTTAATAATTAGAAATTAATTTAGAATAGTCTGGAAGAAAATTTCAATTCCAGACTACTGTGCAGATTCAAAATTATAATAATTATCAATCAATTTCTTTAAACAGACTTAAAATTTCAGTTTCAAAATATTTTTCTGACTTATTATATAAAGCTATGATACAACTGGATTAAAAAAAAAATTACCTGGCATATAATGTCCTTATTAGTAAAACGAACAATCATACGATATTTTGGAGTATTGTATTTATTTTTATCCTGAACCACCAGCCGGCGACGAGCATAATAATCAGTTTTTCCCTCTGAAATTTTTTTGTTTTAAATTTCACACCAAAGAAAATATTTCATTACTATTAAATATGGCAAAAAGTTACATATTTAATACTTACCTCTTCTCCTACGAAATTTTACTTGAAACCGCTTAAAATAAGCCTTATTCTTCACAACTTTTACAAATCCCTAAAATTGAAAATTTTAACTAATAACTAAAAAATAGTTTAAGAGATTTATAAAATGTGTTTATATACAAAAAAATTTGTTTTTCATGAAAACTGAAGTGGTAAAAGTATAAAAGAATTTTCCAGTACTAAATGCTAATGCTTGAAAATTTTACATATATATTTAATACAATTATGCCTAATTGTTTTTGTCTGGAAAAAATCAATTCTTACATAATTTGTTTTGACCTAATGCATTTCATGAAACTTGCCTTTTAAACATTTCCATTTCATTTATTTTCAAGAAAAATATTCACTCTCACCTTATCAAAAAAACTGCTATTTAAACAATTATAAAAGTTGCATTTAATGCTGCTGTTCACATGTGTTCAAACAAATTAAGATTTAGCATAAAAAACAATTTCATAAACAATTTACTTTTTCACGTAAATTGTTTTTATGATTTATTTGAACACATCTAGCTACAATTAGTCTTTAACCTTATCCTGTCTTGGCTGTTTCAAAAATTTAGCTTGATTTGTTTCTATAACTACATTTCTCTCATTTGAAATATTTTTGTATGTACAGTAGATCTTCCTATAAAACCGTTTCCTATAGTTATGATTCCTATAAAAATTGTGGCAGTATCCGTAAACAATGGTAAAAATAACTCCTATAATACGTAAAACGTCATCGGGCAGCTGAACTACTTTCCCACCGTCCGTAGCGCCACGCTACGGATGTTTAGGCGGATAAATTGAGTTTAGTATCATCTGTTCATATAATTATATATAAATTAGGTACTGTACATATAATTATATATTAATTATATATAAATTAGGTACTGTATATATAATTATATATTAACTTAATTTATTGTAACTTTATTATAATTAAATATATATTTTTCGCCGTCTAGCGTCACGCTACGGCGAGTTAGGCGACCTATCGTCTGTTTAGTACTGTAATTTTATACATTTCTTGTGAAAGAAACATTTC